AAGAAAGAAAGAAAGAAAGAAAGAAAGAAAGAAAGAAAGAAAGAAAGTAAGAAAGAAAGATAGAAAGAAAGAAAGATAGAAAGAAAGAAAGAAAGAAAGAACAATAACTTCAAGGACCCCAGATTAGGAATCCAAACTTCAACATCTCATGAAAGGAAAGGCAATAACACTACAAAAGCAAACTAGGCTAAGTGTCCAAGCCATACTGTATTCCACGGTATACCTTGCTTTGCTGAGTCACAGAGTTTGGTCCCCATCTCTTGCCTTTCCCACCCCTATGGCCGCTTCCCTGGAATCTGAATCTCTGGCTTTAGCTCTGGTTTTCCTTCCTGGACACACTCCTCTGATCTTCCTGGCATGTTGCCCCTTCCGTACCGCAGGCTTCCTGCCAAAGCATTCAGGTTCAGTTTCACATAGTCAAGGGCCTTGAGATCATGCCACATGACAATCCATTGGAAAAAACCAGGGACATTTAGCTTGGAGGAGACTTGGGGGAAATATGACAGCTGTGTTAAAATAGGTGAAAGGCTATTGGGTGAAATAGGAAATAGATTTGTTTAGTTTTGCCCCAAGCCATTCCATTTGTGCTTCAGACCAATCAGTACAAGTTACAAAGAGGAAAGCTTAGTCTTTATAAAAGGGAAACCAAGATTAACAGGTCAAGCTATCCCAAAGTGCAATGGACTGCCTGGGGAGATCGTACATTCCCCTCCATCAAAGGTTTTCAAGGGAACGTTGGATAACAACTGATAGTGTCTATCAACCAGTAATAGATAGCTATCAGTTGAGGGTGTGTCATGAAAAGAATATTTGTTGAGGGACGAATATGATCAGGTAAGGGGTTCCTAACCTGAGGTCCGTGAATTTTTCTTTCTAATATTCTGATAACTGTATTTCCATATAATTGGTTTCCTTTAAAAATTCTATGCATTTTGTTTTATGCATTTTAAAACATTATTCTGAGAAATGGTTTGGAGGTTTCATCATATTGCCAAAGGGGTCCAAGACACAAAAGAAGTTAAGAAATCCCTGGATTGGATGGTCTTTCTGGTCCATTTCAACTGAGATTCTGTTATTCAGTGCCCTTAGGCACATCCTGGTAATCAGTATTTGATCACTGCAGTTGCTCAGGTCAACTCGGAACTAGACCTTCAACTTTTTTGAAGCAGTTTTGAATGAACACACAATGATGTAAAGTTTTAAAGCATTTCTTTATCCTCTCCCATTTGATCATCACAATGCCTTTATGAGAGAGGTGTTAATATTTTCAGCTACTAATTTTATAAACGAGGAAAATTAGGTTAATTGACTTAGGGCCACACAGCTAGTGAGTATTTGAGATGGGATAACAACAATAATATTGTCATCATTTTACAGATGAGGAAAGTGAGGCAACAAAAGTTAAATAACTTGCCTAGGGTCACAGTCAGTAAGTTCTTGGGGCAGGATTTGAACCCCTGTTTTCCTGACACCAAGTCCAATGCTCTAGCAACTACAGTATGCTGCCAATCTTAGACTTGTTGTTACCTCCTCCACTTAACCCCTTTAGTGCTTAAGAGTCCAAGAAAGGAGGATGTGGTCTCCTGAGGTACATGCCAAGTGCATTTCTGGAAGGAATGAGTTACATAGGTTACTTGCTTAGTGATCCAGAGGTTCCACTAAAATGTATGGAGCCACTATATAGTCCAAGGTCAGAAACACCATCCTTATTCAACCTGGAGCATGCCAGTTAAGTTAAGAAGTCAAGAATTCAGATACATTCTACAAACACCAACTGATATTATGACCATGGGCTATTGCAATATGGCCATGTGTCCTACCAGTTTCTATATATCTAAAACTACCTGTCTATCAGTGGGTACAAAAAAATGGACTCAAGAATTATTTCCTCTAGGCCCCAGAGTTTCCATCCTAAGTTCTGCTAAGAGAATCTTTTACAAAACAACACGCAAAATTCAGAAAGGATTAGGTTTTGTTGTTGTGTTGTTATTTCTCAAAAGAAGCTTGATTTGACCGTCTGCTGATGAAATGAGCCTGGGAGCTCTAACTGACCTTTAACACATTTAATGAATGAAATCATAATTAACAAAAAATGTTCTAAATAATGAAAATTGCATTTGTGTGAATGTGCAAAGCCTGTGACAGGAATTAAATCAGCGCCACCCCACAAAGGGGGTCCACCTAAATTATAAACTCCATCACCTCTTCTCATTTGTTTTTCAGAAACATTTCAAGCACAAAAGAAGGTGATGCTTCACATATTTTAATCCTCTTGATTGTGATTTGTTTCCCCATGGCCTTCAGGTCTCCATGTTGGTGGAGAAATGAAACTCTTCCATTATCCCCTGCCAGAGAGAGGACCTATACAAAATTGGTTAAATATAAACACTCTTAATTATCATATTTCAACCTCAATTTCTAACAACTTATACAACTCAGATTTTCCATTCTCAAATTGCTTTACTTACAGAAATGTCAAAGGAGACCAATAATTGCTTAAAATTGAATATGACTATCTATGAGGAATGATTTGTTTTGATTTGTCAAACTGTCTCAGACATACTCCATAGAATTTTTTTTAACACAGATTTGTTTCTATCTTAATTGGTTTTATTATTCCTCTAAAACTTTCCTGGGACCATGAAAATGGAACTTACAGCTTTGTTTAATAGATCTGAGGATCTTTGACTCCAGCTACATTGAACTACCTCTCTCCCATCTGGTAATATCCATTAAACTTTTATTCCATGGCTCCATTATAACCTTCTACCAAATCTAGTCTATATAATCAGACTGAAGAGGCCACAGGATAGCTGATCAGGTATTTTGAAATGACATCATTCAATGATTGATCCACCCCACAATACCAAGGTAGTTTCTTTGTCATTGATACATAGTCCCCAAAGACATGGGGATCACTATAAATAAGAGTATCAGCTTGTTTCCATACACAGAGAAGATATTCTGTAAAAATTTGCTTAATTATTCCCTCAATTTCAGGTTTACCCATGGGTTCTATTCAAAATGCTAAGGCAGTTTGCCAGACCCAAACTATTGTTATAATTACACATTACAGGGCTAGCCAACCTTCTGCAAAATTGTGAAGTTAGCTTAGATGGAGTCAGGAAGACATTTCCTAGACATTCGCCTGCCATAATGTCTCCTCTCAGGCCAATATCTCCTCCCTAGACTCTGCCCATAGAGCCACCCAGGGCTTCAGTAGGCCAGCTTTGACATTAGTTTGCATGGGTCCAGGCCTTCACTGAACCTCATAGTCACATGAAGAGCACTTAGAGGTCATTTACTCCAACCCCTTCACCTTATAAATGAAGAAATTAAGGTGTAGAAAGGTTAAGACACTTGCCTTGACCCTTTCCATTTCACTGAAATCTAAGATTCTACTCTTTTCTTCTAGGGGTGAGCTTTTTGAATTATCTACTTGGGAACCAGGACAACCACCACTTTCTCCATTCTTCTTCCTATCCTCCTACACCCACTTCCCTGGCCACTATCTAGCAGCAACTCCATTATGTTTCAAAACTAAGAAAGCAATATGTTTCTCCCATAGTTGGGACTCCATCCTCCTGCAAATAATTATTTCCAAATTTCTCAAGCTCAATCTTATTCTATCCTTAGACATAGAACCTTAGAGGTAATTGAATCCAACTCTCTCATTTTACAGATGGGAAAACTGAGGCCCACAGGGGTGTCATGACTTACCCAAGGATGCACAGGTAGTAGCTGTTAGAATGGAATCCAGATTCTCTAACTCCAGAACCAGTATTCTTTCCATCTGCTACCATGGGTTTACATTCTATTTACCTATATTTATTTTAGGGTCTTATGTCTCTCCTGGATATATAAGAATGTATCATTTCCCATTGCTCTAAGCACCATGATGGCAGGAATCATGCATATTGGTTGTTGTATCTGCCCAAACAATCTCTGAGGTCCCATCCATATCTAATCTTCAATCCTATAAATAGCCCTCTCCATACTTACCTTCAATACTATGGCATTATATATGTACATACATACATACATACATACACATACATATGCATGTGTGTATATATTTACATATATACATATATGAATATTGCTGATGCATCACTGGTACATATCCATTTAAGAAACTGGTCATGCCAGCATAGAAAAGTTAAGATTCCAACTTACTCGACATTCTCGACAGCTCTTGGTTAAAATCCGATGGCCCTCTGCAAGAACTTTTCCGCCATAGATACATTTTGCTGTAACAAGATAGATAAATTAGTCAGGGTGCCAAAGTCTTAAAAAATTAAGATAGATTCTTTCACTCACTATTAAACACAGGAAGAGAGTGACAGTTTGGGAAAGTAGCTCATTATGACTCCTATTATTATTAAAATGTTAATTTTGGTTACAGCTTCTGTGAATCCTTTGCACACACACACACACACACACACACATATATGTGTATATTTTAAATCTAGATTTTTTCATTGTTCCAATTCACAAATGAAACTAGAGAATGAACCAAGCTGACTTAAAACATGAAGCCCAACTTGTTATCAAAATAGAGAAATTGTCCACCTTGGTACACTGGCTGTGTATCCTCCATGAACTCCCTCATTAACCCAGGCTTCCTTCATGGCTTAGCTCATGTGCTACCACATATGGGAGACGTGATCTCCTCCTCTTGTGCTCACTCCCACTTCAAATTAGCATGTATATATTTATAGACTGATATGTTGTATTCACCTAAAGTAATTTTCATTTTGGAGTCCCAGTGCCTAACACAGTGCATTATGAGTAGAAGATGCATTGAATTGGGTTAAAGTGGATTAGACTGGGCTAGAAAGGCATCTAAATCAAAGGACATCTTTTGAGGTAGCTGGTGCTGCAGTGGATAGCTCACTGGGCCTGGAGTCGGGAAGACTTGAGTTCAAATGTGGTTTCAGACACCTACTACCTGTGTGACCCCAGGGAAGACACTTTACCTGCTTGCCTCAGTTTCCTCACCTGCAAAATGGGAATAATAGCAGCATCTATCTTTCAGAGCTGTTGTGAGGATCAAATAAGATAATATTTTTAAAGGGATTAACACACACCTGGTTTATAATAGTCACCATATAAATGTTGATTTCCTTCCCTTCCTCCTTCAGCCCTTGTGCTGTCCTTTAAAACATGTAGCATAGTGGAACAAGGGCTGAATTTGAAACCAGAAGACATAGGTTTGATTCACAGATTGGTTATTTACAATCTACGTGACCTGAGACCCAGGTATCACAGTGGGTAGAATGATGGACTCAAGCATAGATGAATTAATTAATTGTTCAATCGCATGTTCAAATCCTTCCTCAGACCTTTTATTAGCTGTGTAACCCTGGACAAGTCATTGAACTTTTCAGCTTCCATTTTCTCATCCATAAAATAGAGATAATAATACCATCACTCTCACAGGGTTATTGGGAGAATAAATCAGACATTATACATTAAATGCTTTGCAAACCTTAGAAGTGTTATTTAAATGCTAGTTATTGTTATTTTAATTTTAATTTATTTTTATCATTCATTTTTTTGAAATTTGGAGATCCAAATTCTCTTTCTCCCTTTCACCTCTACCCCACCCATTGAGAGGCAAGCAATATGATATCCATTATACACGTGAAGTTATGGGAAATATATTTACATATTAGCCATATTGCAAAAAAGCAAGAAAAATAAAGTAAAATAAAAAAGATCTGCTTCGCTCTAAACACAGAACCTATCAGTTCTCTCTCTAAAAGTGGATAGGATTTTTCATCATGAGTCCTTTGGAATTTTCATGAACCACTGTATTCATCAGAGTAGCTAAGTCTTTCACTGTTAATCATTGTTATAATATTGTTATTACTGTATATAATGTTCTGTTTCTGTTGCTGCTCATTTCATTTTACATCAGTTTATATGTCTTCCTAGATTTTTCTGAAACCATCTCCTTTATCATTTCTTATAACACAATAGCACTCCATCACCATCATATTCCACAACTTTTTCATCCATTTTTGAATTGATGGGCATTTTCTCAATTTCCAATTCTTTACTACCACTTAAAGAGCTGCTATAAATATTTGTGTACATACAGGACCTTTTCCTTTTTCTGGATCTCTTTGGGATACAAACCTAGTAGTGGCACTGGCTAGTTACTACTACTACTACTACTACTACTACTAATCCATAAATTGAGGGGACTGGATTACTTCAAAGTTACTTCCAGTTCTAAATCTATAAATCTATTCACCAACAGATATGTTTTGGGAAATGAGGCACTGTCCATATTTTATAATAAAAAGAAACAATTATCTACGTACAACTTTGTCCCTCAAGTTCAGAAAAGTCAACCAATGTAGAACAATGAACTCAAAGACTCACCTTGGGAAAAGATCTTCAAAGGCTAATAAATTGGGGAACATTTAAACCTTAAATGTACATTCAATGAAAAAACTGGGTAGAGCTCCTATTAGTAAATTCAAATTTCCCTGAAGTGTAATCCTTTATTCACCTGGCTGACCCAATTTAAAGTAGTACCAAAAATGCCCAAGAGGTATGATGCTTCCCCCCTCCCTCAAAAAAATGACTCCACCAAATTTTCTGTCTGCATTAGCAGCAGAAAAAGACCCTATGGATTTGTCTGTGTCTTCTGACCAGAAAGGATGCTTGCAGTTCCACTACTGCCTTCTAAGGAACAAATAGAAAGAACAGAAAGCAAGAAAGGGGCAGTGTCTTCTTGTGGTACATGCTGAAAGCCTTCAGGTTGTGTCTATACACAATGTGAAATATGACATGGATGCCATCGCCCAGTTGCTAGACTTCTCTGTCTCTGTCTTTGTCTCTCTCTCTCTCTCTGTCTCTCTCTCTCATCTTTGTACCTGAATTATCTGGATAGTACAAACAGACATGACATCTTTGCCAAAATGATGAAGTTTTCCATTTTATCCTTCATCTGCAGACCCTACCTTCAAAGCCCTGAGATTTCTGTGTAAAAACCTCCAATGCTCCCAACTGCAGCTGGTGCCGACTCATCCAGGTGGCTCATCCTGCTAAGTGCATTGCTGTCAAATTTGCCAGACGCTTCTTTGCCCAGGCTGGGGACCAAAGAAGAGTATCTGCCTGTTCTCCATCACCACACGCTGACTTGGATGTGTAATGTCTCAAGACATGTGTCTAGTTTGTTTCCTCTCTTCCTCTTTGAAATTGATCACTTCTGGGCCACATTTCAAATGATAAGGACCCTATCCTTGGATTTATTCAAACTACATATGCACATGAGCACAGGGACGCACGCACTCAAATCATCCAAATTGCTTCAGAATCAAGTGTCCCTTGGACAGCCCTACCTCATTCTTCATAGAATAGGGTTGTGTAAGGACGGGCTTTATTTAAGGCATGCCTAGTTCCTCTAAGATTGAAATTGGCTGAGTTTATAAGTGCAGCACCAAACTATAAAGTCATCTTGAGTTTTGTTTTTTTTTTTCAGGATCATCAATCTGTCTCCAATGTTTCAGTCCCCAATCTTTTCTATGATATAATTGCTGCTGCCACACATTGGTCTTATCTATCCTAATTCTTGGTCTACCTTCAAAAATCTCATTTTGTTCTGTCCGAGATAATAATACATAAGGCAAATCAGGTCCCTTTAGTTGAGTTTTAGGAGAACAAAGGTTCAAACTTAAATAGATCCTTGAAACCTTCAGCATTGCACCAATAGTGTTTGAACCAGAAAATGTCATATTTACATGAAGTATAGGCCAAAGCAATTGGACCGAGTTTGCATTTGGTTTTGTTTTGCAACAACCTAAAAGAGAAATTTGCAGATATATCTTTTTAAATCTGAAGACGTGGCCCTGATATTTGGGTCTAGAGTCCATAGTTCTAATGTTTGCCTCCAGGAAAAAGTGAGATACATTAGACTCCAAGACAGTCTTCTATAGAAAGCTTTCTGAACTTCAGACCTGCCCCAACCATCCTTCAATGCTCAGTCTTGAAATGTCAAAATCAACATCTTATATTATATGAAAAAAGAAAAGGTAGATGAGAAGGGCTCAGCATTCCATTCACCCAAGTCTCTAATCTGACCCCGTCTCTTCTCTTTCTACACTTTCTCCAATAACAACTTTATCCCCTCCCCCAAGCATTACAATTTCCTTTATGGAGATAACTAGCAAATTACAGGTCTGTTGCCAAGAAAGCACTTTGTAAACCTTGAAGTCATTAAATAAATAAACTACTATCCAGGGCAGAAAGCACTGGGGAGAAGGGGCCTGAGATCATGTCACCACCACCTGCTGCCATAAACCCAAGAGCCAAAGAGAGAGAGCCATGCCCTCCCAGAACACTGGCCTTTCTTCTAGTCTGTGCCTGTAGCCATTGTCCAGGGAAATGACCCATGTAGCATGAAACCTGGCAGCTGCCTCTGCAGCCACAGCTTCTGAAGACTCAGCAAAGAAAGTTTTCAGCACCAAAGTCTTTGACACTGTCAAATGGCTCAGGAGCAGAGATTGACATGGTTTTATTAATGCAAATGCCACTAAAGAAGATGTATTATCAGCTGCTTTGCCATTGTGCCCTCAAGACCATGGGGCCTTTCGATCTGAAATGCAGCTGAAATGTCTTCTATGTCTCATCTCCTGATCTTATCTCCTCTTCTAAAAGGATAGAGGGCAAGTTCTTTAAGGGAACAGAGTAGCACCTATTTGTGATCCCAGTGCTTAGCATAGCACTTTGGACATAATAATGGCTTAATAAATGCTTTTTTTTATTCATTCATTCATTCATTCATTCATTCCTATAAATGCCAGCTCAATCTCCAACCTTATCTGTACTCATGAGTCACAGTTCCTTATTTTCAACTGCCTAGATTGTTTCTACATTTGAATGTCCTGCTAGCACCTTGAACTGAACATTCTAAAACAGAACTAAACAAGTTTTCTCCTCAGGGAGAGATAATAACTGCCTTAAAGTATTTGCAAAGCTGTCACATGGAAGAGGGATTAGATTTCAGTCTGGTGCTAGAAGGAAAAAATCACTGCCATGGGTAAAAATTGCAAAGAAGTAAATTTAAACTTGATGTAAAATTCTTTTTCTAATAGAGCTGTCCAGAAGTAGCATAGGCTGTTCTGGATAGGTGGCAGGCCCTTTCTCAGTGGAATTCTTCAAGAAGAGATGGCATGGCCAGTTGTTAACTCTAACTCTCCATAATTTTGAGAGAGGTAGTATAGCCTAGTGGATAAAGAATTGGCCCCAGAGGCAGGAAAATCTGGGTTCAAGGCCTGCCTCTGACATATATTGGCCTAGAGAGGATGACAGACTTGTACTTTAAGAAGAACAATTTGACAGCTAAGCAGAGGATGGACTGGGAGATGGAAGGGAGACCTGACACAGACAGACGCACCCATAGGCTATTGCAAGAGGCCAGATGAGGGTGGCCTGCACCCAGGCAGTGGTAGTATTAGAGGAGAGAAGGGGTGTATAAAGAGGTATTATGAAAATAGAGTCTAATGCCTATATTCCCAGCATGAAAATAATAACTTGGCACTTTACACAAATATTATCTCATTTGATCCTCACAACAATCCTGTGAGGTAAGATATTCCAGATATAATTATTGCCATTTATGAGTACTATAAGTACTCAACTTTCTTATGAGTAAGTATGTATGTACATACATACATAAGTAAGTATGAGGTTCTGATGTGCTAAATGACTTGCCTGTGGTCACTTAACCGGTAAGTGTCAGAGTTGGGATTTGAACACGAGTCTCTCCTAATTGCAGATAGAATATTCTTTCTACTACACCATTCTATTAAACACAAATTCAACATCTGGTAATGGGTTTTCTGCAGCTGTGGTTTCCACAGTTAATCACATTTATTAAATATCTATATTGTGCTACATACTGGAGACATCAAGAGAAAGATGAAGGTGTTTCTGCCCTCAAGGAGCTGACATTCTATAGAGAGAGACAACATGCTCACATGTAAATAAAAACAAAATATAAAAAAAAGGCAAAACAAAATAATTTTGGGGTGAGGGAGGCACAGGTATCTGGGAGAATCAGAAAAGGTAATAGGTAGGAATTGGCAGCTAACATAAGTTTGAAGGAAACCAAGTGGTCCGAAGGGTGAAAGTGAGGAGAGTGCATACTCTGTGTCTGCAAAAGGAGGGATTCAGGAGATGGAATGTAATATGAAAGGAACAGAAAGAAAGAGAGACTGGCTATGCTACACAGTCCTTCCAGTGTAGACAAAAAAAGTCAATAGTTTGATTCATTTGCTACACTTAGGTATACCTAGGTATGCCATACTGCCTAGATTCTAAAAATGACTCCAGAGAACTGCAACACTATTTTCCCCTACTAGTGAATTAATTGACATCGTTATCATATTTTTTATTTAAACTGTTTTTGATTCATTTTACCTGTGCTTATTCATCAAGGCAGGGGGTGTGGGAAAGGAACACTAACTGTCCATTAATGGAAACATGCATATAAATCTTCATCCCAGCCTCTACTCACGGCGGCAAGCTTTACAACACTGGCCTCCAATGTGGACAGGGAGCGAGTCAGGAGAACAGTTGAGAGGGGGACAGGACATCCTCCGGCATTCTACCGCTCCACTCTGAGGAAGAACAGAGAAAGAAGACTCAAAGTAGGGAAGACTGGTACGAATGGAACAGAACCAGGAGAATGACTCACACAATGACCATAATAATATAGGGTATTCCAAAAGTCTTAGTGTGGTTTTACACTATCAAAGTGTTAAATTGATCTAAGACTTCTGGCATACCTTGTATAAAGGAAAACAACATTGAAAGGCAATAGAATTCTGACATGACCGCATCAGAGTACTGATTTTAGAGCATTTCTCTCACCTTTCAACAGAGAGGTGGCAGATTTTGGGTGCAGAATCAGATATATATTTTCAAAGTGACTAATTCACTGATTTATAGCTAGGTTCTGATTAATGAAAGTAATGAATCCCATGAAGTATTCGCATGTATTTGAATTCAGGTGGTTCAAAGTTATAATTATGGAAAATATGGTAACTCATCCCTGCCCAGTGGAAAATATGCAGTGCCAATTTGAATAATATGAACTTTTCACTGGATCATTTGCATTAATTGAGACTTAATTAAATTTTCTTAAATTAATACTTTGGTTCTAAGGGTGGGTTCTATTGGGCATAGGATGGGTGAGGAGTTATCAGAACTGAGATGAGACAGACATAAAACAAAAATTCATAAAACAAGGCAACAGAAAAGGAATGGGAATAGAAAGGGGGAATGGAAAAGGGGCCTTAAGGGTTTGCTTTTAAAGACCCAAATCCTCATCCCAGAAACTTCAGAGAAATAAAAGCAGTGTTAGAAGTTTTAAATTTATTCCTGGATCAAAAGGAGAGCCTTTTCTGTCACCTGAATGAACTCAAGCCACCTCTGTTGCTTTCCTGATATACATCATTGACTTTATCCCACATGCCCACTCAGGACAAATAAATTAGATAGAAAACAAAAGCCCATTTTACAAGAACATAAATAGGACCCTTTGCAGACCCTGTCAATCATTGTCAAGGCACTAACAATCAATTTTGTATTTTCCTGGACAAACAATGACATTCTACAGATATTTATCAAATAATTTCAGTGGGACAAGATTTACATACTAAAACTCCTTCCAATTCTTAAATCCTGACTACAGAGGCCATAGTTGTCACTTTGTAGGATGAAGACACATTTTAGAAAGCAAATTAAATCATATTTAGCACCTAATGTGTGAAAATAGCTATTAATTATAATAATATTGCCATAGCACTTTAAAGTTTACAAAATATTTTCCATTTATTCTTATTGGATCTACACAACCACCCTGGGAGATCAGAGGCATTATTGTTCTCATTTTATGGATCAGAAAAGTGTGGCTCAGAAAGGTTAAATGTTTTGTCCTGGATCACACAACCAGTGTGTGTCTATAACATATTTGAATCCAGCTCTTCCTGACTCCATGTCCAATGTTCTTTTTCCATCACACCTGACTTCATGATGAATGAAACCAATCTCTGAGTCTGAGCCCAAAAGATAAATTTCCCTACCTGCCACCCCTAAACAATAAGCTTCTCAAGGATATAATTAGGACAAGTGAGAGACTGCTGTCAAGGGAAAGTAAATTTTATGTTCTGAAGATTCCCATTTTTTTAAATGGCAAATTTCCAACATTTCTTAACAATCATTCAAAATTGCCAGTGGGTGCATACAAAAAAAAAGATGATAACAATTCTCAGAGTTAACATATGTCTCCAAGATCCAAGATTAGGCCATAATTAGTTCTCTGCCCCTTAAATGTGCTTTTTCAAAGATCCTTACTTTACACGTGCAATTCCTGCAGTGATCATCGTCTACCCAGGAGTCTTGGTCCCGATAGATCAGTCCATTTACTTGACAGGTCTTCTCGCAATGGCAGTTTTCCAACTGACTGAGCCTCGTTTCTGCATAATTCAGCTGTAAACCAAAGTTGCTAGTTGTAATTTCTATGATTCACTTGCAGGGTTTTTCACATAGCCAATACAAAAATGGGGAGGGGAAAGGAGGGAGAGAAAGAGGGAGAAGAAAACTCGAACCACTCACCATTCCCTAACAGGATCTAATTTTTGTTACACAAGGTGAAATCAGTCTAAATTGAAGACATATTGCCTTCCATGGTCTAATGAGCACCAAATGAGACATTAAACTGTATCTGAGGGACCTCACGGGTGTTCATAAATTTGTGTACTTTCAGCTCAAACCACACATTGAAGCACTCATAATGAATGTATTCTTGAGTACTCATTAAACTGTTTACAGGCAATATAATCATGAACACTGATGTACTTCTGTTCATCTTCTGTCTTTTACCTTTACCCTTCCACTCCAATGAGATAATAGTTGTAAAAAGCTCTTAGTACCATGCCTGGCACACAGTAGGTGCTTTTAAAATGCTTATTCCCTTCCTTTCTTCTCTTCCACTATCATCCTTCCCATACTAATCAAGTGGCCATGGTTTTTAAAAAATAAAATCAGTGTTTGCTCCAGCAGATGGGAATCTGGGGAGAAATCAGTGGGAAAAGGATAAAAAACCTGAAGTTCTCCTTCCCTATACCTATAAGCCAAGTTTAAGAATTTCCAAACTCATGTTCCCAGGAATATGCTACATTGTCCAAAAGGAGGGAGGAGGAGGAGGAATCAAACACTGATAGACAAAAGAAAATTTCTTTAAACAATTCACCAGGGGGTCATTTCTGTATCCTGCTTCAATATAGCCATTTCTCAGGATAAAAATTCATCTTGGGGGTGGGGGGGGTGGGAGCATGACTAGCCTTTTATCATTACTGTCTTATTTCCTTTAGTTCCAAAATTGAGTCTGCTATGGTTTGAAAGAAACTTTTTTTTTTCACTAAAAAGCCATGAATTCATTTCCCTTGGCCTTCTTAATCCTCATGTATTCCTTTGTTTTCCTAACCAGCTTCACTCAGAGTACTCTAGGAAAGCACTCTGATCTTTGATCAGGTTAAAATATCTCAAATCAAGCATCCACCCATAGGACTTCTACCATGATGATGCTGATTCCCAAGAGATTTCCCTTATCTGAGGTTCTCACTCAGAGGGTCCCATCAAATAGTTATCCTAATGAGTACTATGACTTTACAAATAAGCAAAAGCTAAATATAATTTTAAAAATTATGATCTCATTCATTTCACACACACCCAATAAAACCTCTATAGGAGATGACCTCTATAAGAGATGATATTGATCATATTTTTCTGCAGTTGAATACTTTTTGAATAATTTTGAATACTTCAAAAGCTAGGATCCAACGAAAGATAAGATACTTCCATTTGCTTTTTTTTTTTTGCGGGGGGGGCAAGGATGTGGAACATTGGATATGATGTTATATAATGTTAACATGTTCATAAGTTTTGCTGAATTTTTTTATTTTCAAAAATGAAATGGAAGAATACAATGAGAAACGTAAGTGATATAGAAACAAAAGATATCAGTCAAAATGGATTTTAAAAAAACAATGTTTTACCGATTTTTATTTTCTCAAATAACCTTTTCCACTGTCTGCTCTTAGCATGGATTCCAATGGGTGGGTGGTGAAATAGCTTTAAAAAAAGTGAACTACAGAAATAAAATAGAAACCTGGGTAAAGCACCTTATTAATCTCTTACCCCTTTCAAAAGCAAAACGAGTTGACTATACCTAAAATATTAAACCTCTTATGACACCTTACAATAGGACTGACCTTCTAAGCTTCCAGTTTTCACTCAAAGCCATAAGTTAAATTTTCAGTTGTTTCCAAAACCAAGACATCCATAGTAATCGGCATCACAATCAGCAATCATTTCATGATGTCAGGATGAGGGTGAACAAAAAGGCCAGATCTTTGAAGCAGAAGATTTGGCCATAGCAAGGTAAGACAGGGAAGTATGCAAATGAAAAGGCATTAGCAAGTAACAATGAAGCCCCATCCAGTAAACCATTAGAATTCTGAATCAAGAGGGTCTCATGTAACTGAATTTAGGTTGTTGGAACCATGAGCTTTTAAAATAGGACCCATCTTAACAAACTAACAGAGAAAGTGCATTGAGTCAGATTCTACAATAGTTTGAGAGACGGCATGGTGTAGAACAGAGATGTCAAAACTTTTTGGCCACATTGTGGCCTATAACAGTCCTGAGGCCAGCCAGAACCAGAGTAAAATATAATTGGGAAATATTAACAAAATTTTAAAAAAATACAATAGAACCTAGATAATGTTAATATGTGTTTTTTGGAGTCCATCAATACGTGGCCTGTAAGGATCCTTATGTATAGTTTAGTTGCCCTGTCTGTATTTGAATTTGATAGCACAGGTGAAGTAGATAGAGGGCCAACTTCAAAGAGGGCAGGAGTTGGACTCAAGAACTGTCTCTGACGCATAAATGCTGTGTGACCCTGGGTTAAGTCACTTAAATTTTCAGCACCCTACACAACTCTCTGAGACCAGGAGCTTTAAAGAAAGTACTCATCTGTATTGACAGAGGGAGTTTCCTCCCTGAGAATTCTATAAATCATAGGTCCAATAGAGACATGTAGATAAGTAGATAGATAATGTATATATATGTATATATCATATATGGCATACTTGTGTAAGGATTTACTACTCCAAGGGTTTATGATTTTATCAGTGTGTAATCTCCTATCCCAGATGCAGATGACAACTCACTGGCACCTTCCGGGGTGGTACTAGAGCATTAAGATGGTCAAAGAATTCAGCCCACTGCAGCTAAGCTGGTGAGGAGCATCTTAAATTTTGCCAGGCTGCTCCTCTGACAACAGATACAACAATCTCCACACCGCAGTCTAAGTCTGCCCACCTTGGTATATCCTGCCAATGCTTGCATTTCAATGGAATGTGAACTCAGTGTTGTCAGCATCCTACAGTGAAGCCTTTGAGTAGAACTTGACCTAGATGTCGTTAACATCATTGATATATCAAGGCATTTGTAAACAGACTACCAAGAACTTACTGTCCAAGTCCTATTTGCCAATTACAACTTCCGCTATCCCCCAAATGCTCAAATACTCCAACGAATCTGTGAGGATATTAGCGCGATGTTTTCTACAAATAGATCGCAAGCCACCCATGTCTTCCCAATCTCATGATTCTTGTTCATATCCTCCCATTGGTTTAACACAAGAGGGCCACCCAACATGTTGGAGGCTTTTATCTCTTTCTTCCAACATTTCAAGCCTCAGAATCAGTAATCTCAACCTCCAGAAAAAAGAAGAAAGGGAAGGAAAAGATAAACATCTGTGTCTCCTTTCCCCAGTCTTATTAAGCCCTATAGGAAATAATGATTGGCCTATACCCTCTTCATAAAACTATAATCCTAACTGCCAAATATAGCTTTCCCCCAGTGATCTCAGGCCTTAGGGGATAAAAAGATAATAAAAAATAAGGAAAAGATGAATAATCCCATCTTCCATGAGCCTCACAGAAAATAATGATGGGCCCATTCCCTCCTTTGAATAATGAAGGAAATCAGAACAGATTTGTCTCACTCTCAAAAACAGCTCAGTCTCCTGGATTGAGACATCACTTTTAAGAGGAAAAAAAATACATCTCTTACTGTTAATACTTTGACTGTCTCTAGCATCTGTCTCACTAGCACTGGGGCACTTGAAAAATTTCACTATTTTAGGAATGAAACCATAGGAGAGGTCGAAAATTCATCTCTCCTGTTTCCTGAACAGAAATTTAGGCTACTCTAAGGCTGTACCTGAGGGAATCTGTAATACTGGCAACATTCAGCCATGTCCAACGCCACACCCACAATGTACCAGTTCAAACAGAAATCAAAAGTCACTTCTTCAAAAGCCTACTTTCTTTCCTTTCAGCATTTTGATTTGGGTTTTAATTTAGCCTTTTCTACTAATATTTAAAATCTAAATTTCCATCCCTGTAATAACAGTGAACCAAGAGATAACGGCATTAAACTAAAGCCAATTTTTCAAAGATGCTTAATTTGTAATCTTCCCTTACATTTTTTTTTATTTTTTATTTCCTTGGTTAAATCTCGTAACAGCAATAAAAGAGGAAAACAAATATAAATCAAGGAAAAATTATATGTTCTGTCTCTGGCATCATCACACTGAATTTATACAAATTCATTTAAGAAAGCTACTTGTGTGCTATCTACCTTGGCTCCAAAGAATGGACAGAGAGACAAAATAGATACAGCACCAAATCTACACCCCCAAGTCTGCACTCTCTTTGTTCATACTTTTATCTATGCAACGGTCTACTAAATAATTCATTTAACTATACACATTCAAAGACAGACAGCAGTGAAGCCTTTTTTCACAGCGAGAGGTCAATGGATGGATCTGAGCAAAGGAGTTGCAGTAGTGGGTCCCCCCCCTTTGAAATGCTATTTACTTGGCATCTGCTGTATGAAAGGGAAGAGAAATCTTCTATTGTGTTAAACCTTTAAGCTTAATTGAAAAATCACTATTGAGCTCTGCGAAACAATGAAAGCCTCAAAATTAAATGTGTTACAAGCTGAAATGCCACTCCAAGTGCTTCTTGATTTGCATAAATAGATTTGTCAAAGATTTAAACAAAAGTAATCAAGAAATTCCCAGGCTCCAAGTTCTTGTTTTGCTGAGTACCAGGCTTAGGAATGGAGTTGTGAGAGTGATAATGGAGTGGGTAAAAAGAAGGGGATGTGTTGGGGAGGGGCTGCTGATGTCAAGACGCTTGTCCTCAGAAGGTAGATGAATTCTCATTATGCCAATAATTTATGCATTGCAGCTCCAGAGAACATTTGGGGGTATCTTATTTATCAATAGGGGCTGGGGTGAGAAACATAATGGAAACAAAACTTGGGAGTTGGCAACACTGCTTCCTTTTCCCTCTCCTTAAAAAAGCATTGGTTCTACCTCTAGACGTCAGGGCTCTTGATTATACCCTGAC